CTCTGGGAGAACAGTTACCACCCAGTACTGCGCTCAGTTGTTTCCTTGCTCTCCCCTCTGTCATTGTCTCCTCCTGTCTCTCTTTTTGAACAAATGCTGTGTTTGGTGATGGACCAGACACCGTGCATATGGGGTGAATAAGCCATAGAGCTACTGCCCTCATGGAGCCAATGTTCATGTGGGGAATATGGACCAAAACCAGATAAACAGAAGAGTTAAAATAAATAGGTGGTAATAAATAGTGTGAATGAAATTAAAGCAGAAAAGGGGATCGAGAATGGTGGGGTGCCTTTTTCGATTGTCAGATTAAGTGGTCAGGTAAGGCCTCTCTGAAGAGGTAAATTTTGAGAAAAAAATCTGGATGCGGTGAAGGGAACAAGTGATGAATATCTAGGGGAAGAGCATTTTAGGCAAAGTGCAAGTCTTTGAGATGGGAGTGTATTTGACTTGTTTCAGGAACAGTAGGAGTTCAGGATGGGAAAGCACTGAGCGATGTAGACAATGGTATGAGATGAGATGGGAGAGGTGGCCAAGGGCTGCATCCTAGAGGGCCTTGTAGGGCTTTGTAGGACTTTGAATTTTATACCGAGAGTGATGGGAAGCATTAGGAGGCTTGAGAGTAGGAAAGAAACGTGAACTAGACTTATGTTTTAAAAGGTTCCCTTGGGGGCACCTGGGTGGCTCAGTTGGTTAAGCATCCAGCTCTGGATTTCGGCTCAGGTCATGATCTCACAGTTCGTGAGATCGATCCTTGCATCAGACTGTGTGCTGACAGCACGGGGCCTGCTTGGGATTCTCTCTCTCCCTCTCTGTCTCTCTGCCCCTTCCCCACTTGCATGCGCACACACTGTTTTTCTCTCTCTCAAAATAAATAAACATTAAAAAAAAATGGTTCCCTCTGGCTGCTCTATGGAGGGTAGACTATGGAGGCAAGAGCCGAAGGGAGAGCAAGTGGGAAGCTGTTGCAGTAATCCAGGTGAGACATGATGATGGCTCAGTCTAGGGTGGCAGTGATGGGTGAGGAGACAAGTGGCTGGATCACCCAGTGATGGGTGTAAATTCTTAGGAGCAAGGTCACATACACTCATGTGTATGCATACACTCATGTGTAATTCTAGGACTTATCACAGGACCTGATTCTTTTTTTTTTTTTAATTTTTTTTTTTTAACGTTTATTTATTTTTGAGACAGAGAGAGACAGAACATGAATGGGGGGAGGGTCAGAGAGAGAGGGAGACACAGAATCGGAAGCAGCCTCCAGGCTCCGAGCTGTCAGCACAGAGCCCGACGCGGGGCTCGAACTCGTGAACCACAAGATCATGACCTGAGCTGAAGTCGGACACTTAACCGACTGAGCCACCCAGGCGCCCCAGGACCTGATTCTTAATAGGTTCTCAGTTTTGTTGAACGAGTGAAAACAAATGCGGCATTCTTGTCACCTTCCCATATACCCTGCTGCCGCTGAAAGGTTTTACTAGAGGTCTGTGCTGTAATTTCAATATCACTGTCCATGGACCACTTTAGTACTTCCTAACCTGGGCCAGCCTCCTTCCAGTGTTCATAGGTGTCGTCCAAACCCACTCATGTTTAGCCAGAGAGGCTAAAATTCTCCTAGAGAAGACAGCGACTAAGACAACCAGATAGGAAAGGACTTTGAGGTATCATGTAGGTAAAGATAAAACTCCCACTCCACAAACCCATGGCATAAAGTAGTGAGGCCTGACATTTAAGTAGCATGTCATATTTTACAGCATATATGTGTTCATATATTCACAGCCACTCTGTGAAGAAGTTATTAATGCTTTTCCCACGTTATATGCCGAGAATCACACAGCCAGTGAATGGTACATCCCCTAAACCACATATTCCATCTCCAGATTTTTACTCTTTCTATGAACTTACGAATTACTCTTTCTATGAATTTGTATGAATTTCTTATGAATTTATTTATCAAACAGCCATCTATTGAATGTATCATGCACTGTGGTAGTAATGGGAATGCTGACAGAAACAAGACCTCAGTGCTGATCTTGTGGGAGCTTGTAGTGTAATGGAGGCATCAGGTAAGAAAATCAAACATTGTAATAAGGTGTTATAAATGCTGTAATAGAATTAAGCACAGGATATGTTTTGATTTCGTATACATAATTACTAAAATGTAGGGTTAAAATAAATCCCTCTCCCAGTATTCTAGAAACTGCCTGAGTGTGTGTTCTGTGTTTTCCTATTCGGGGAAGTGGATTTGAATTAAAATGGCATGGCACTGTAATAAATTTATTGTTTATTATTGATAGACCTCAAACGCTGTACAATGTCTTCTGAAATCTGTAGGATGTCTTACATCCTTTAGAGTTCCACCTTCCTAGATATTATTTCCTAAGCTTAAAATGGTTGCGTTTATTTTAGGATTACTTAGGTCTTAATTTTTTGCCTTCACGATGGGACTAGGCTTCATAGTGTCACACGCTTAACGGAATATGTAAGGAAAGACAGGGTTTGGTCCCAAGGAATGCCAAAGCTTTAGAATTGCCCAGGTTAGACCCTTACATTGGCATGTAGGCTATGCAAAAGTCCTAATAATTATGCCACCACAATGAGATGAGAGCAGAAATACCACAGACATCTGAGTTAGAAGATGAATTATTCTTTTTTGTGTGTGATCTTCTTGTGCTTAAGTAACTTATTTCTTCTTTTTGAAATATGTGTTTGAACAAGTGAGAAAGTACACCTGTCAAAAGATTAACCAGCTGAGAACTATTGTCAGCATTAATTTTCCTTTAATAAATGACTCTCTGAAGCTATTTAGCAATCCGTAATCTAGATACAAAGCTATTGACCTATGATGGATAGTGCTGGATTTGTTTGTAAGCTTTGACTTAAATTGTCTACTTAATTTTCCTAGGTCAGATCAACAGGATTAGGAATCGAGATGGTTATGTGGTTTGAATAAAAATGGCTATAGAAATTGAGCAAAATAATTGTAAAAGAGTAATGATCTACCACCTTGGTGAAGTAAATTAGAAACTAACAAAGTGACAATTAAACTTCAACATTATCAGAATGTTCAAAGGACACAGACTGGCTAATTAAAAGCATTTGTTATAATTGGGTTTTTGTACATAATCATTTCCGAAGTGTGTCTGAAAATATTGTGAAATAATGTAATTTAACCTCATGTGTGAGTATCCTCGGCTTTCCTAACATGTGGGCACTTCCTCTTCCACAGTTATTTGGCTAACATAATGCTGACCTCTCTTGCTTTTGATAATTAGTTAAAATAGCATAAACTGTAATAGAAAGGCTGCTTGATCTGGCAATAGCAAAATATTCACAATTTCAATGAAAGAGGAATCTCTTCACTTGGGGTTTTTATATATAAAAACGGTGTATTTCATTGACTAAATTAAACTAAAAAGTAGGCCATTATTTGTAGTTATCGATTCTAATGGCCAGATTTGATAAATAGACAATGATGGTTTCTTTATTCCTAGCCACACTGTAAAATCAAGTGTAAAGGCAAAAACTGTACAAGCTTTCTTCCACACACTTTCCTGGTTTTGACCAATAAAACCCAACTTGAAAATTATGAATTAAAATTTTTTTAATACTAAAAGCAGCAATAATACTCTTGGTTTTCTTTTATAGCTGATAAAATGTTAGATGAATGAAGCTTCCCCTCCTTTTTTTAGGGACAAGTCTAGGGCATGTTTTGTGTGCTAACCAATCATTTCAGTCAATGACCATGCATCAGACCTTTCTAAAGAGCTAGGAAGCAGTAGCCCAGCCACAGCTCATTTCTTCTCCCTGCTCATATCACTAGGAATGAATTGCCCAAACGGTGTATAGGAGGAGGGAAAAGAAAAATCAAATAATACTGGAAAGTGCACATCAGAATTACTGGTCTAAATAAGCGACTGTTTTCTTTAACTTAAAAAAAGACTCTTACCATCTGAAATGCCTACTTGTGTGCGGGAGAAAGAGCCAGGTCTTCCTCTTTGTAGATCTCATCGGTAGATAGCATGTGGGGAGCAAGCAAATGGACTAAAGACACCCAAATCCCCAGAATAGCAGATCCCTCTGGCTCTTCTTGTGCTGGTCAGGGCACAAGGGCCTTTTTCATATACTTTCTATTGCTTGAATAGGTTTCTTAGAATAAAAGATGCATGAGAAGGACAGATTCCATATGTTTTCACTCCTATGTGGATCCTGAGAAACTTAACAGAAAACCATGGGTGAGGGGAAGAAAAAAAATGGTTAGAGAGGGAGGGAGCCAAAACATAAGAGACTCCTAAAAACTGAAAACAAACTGAGAGTTTATGGGGGGTGGGGTGGGTGGGTGATGGGTATTGAGGAGGGCACCTGTTGGGATGAGCACTGGGTGTTGTGTGGAAACCAATTTGACAATAAATTTCATAATGAAAAAAAAAGAAAAAGAAAAATAATTTTCTTATAAAAAAAGAATAAAAGATGCATGTGAATAATAAAATGCACGTTTCAAATTACCATATGTCTCGTGCTATGATTATGCCAGATACTTGAGATGAATTGAGAATAAGCGTTTGAATCTGTGTGTTCTTTTGGGTTATTATTAAACTCCACAATACTTGATTTTTAAAATATTCCAGGAGAGGGGCTAGCTCGGCCAGTAGAACATGCAACTCATGATCTCAGGGTCATGAGTCAAAGCCCCACATTCAGTGTAGAGCTTACTTTAAAAAAAATATGTATATGTATGTGTATATGATACATGCACACACACACACAAAAATATGTATATGTATATGTATATGATACACACACACACACACACACACACACACACGCACACACACACACATTCCAGGAGAGATTTAGGGCATCTTATATACGCCTGACATAAATACAGTTTGGAGGCAAGGTGTTTTCATTTGTTTTGGGGCTTTTCTCTAGTTTTACTATCTACCTAAACACTTGAAGAAATGTATCCTTTTGTTCTGTCCCTTTACCCCCAAACTATTCAGGTGTGGGAGCTGCTCGGTCTAGGAACCTCACATTTATGGTGGGAGGAGTCGAAGATGAATTTGCTGCTGCCCAGGAGTTGCTGGGGTGCATGGGCTCCAATGTGGTGTATTGTGGAGCTGTTGGGACCGGGCAGGTAACATTTTCACATTAATGACCCTGACTTGATGATATACAATTGGCTAAGGTTCACTTGTCTTTCCTGACCATACTATTATTCCAACCCCACTCTGTTCAATTTGTGGATTCTTTGCTCAGATTTTCTTAAATTAATTTGGAATAAATTAGTTTTCCATCATTCCTGCTGGAATTAAGCAGACATCAGCCAATTAACTTATTAAAAAAGATACTGAAAATTTCATCATTCACATTCAAATTTCATCATCCTACTGGCCACTGACATCATCCTTAAAAGTGCTTCCATAGGAAGTGCTCATGGTGTCTCAGTTGCTGTTTTCCTCCAATTATGTACTGCAGCTCTGTTTGTAATATAGTCAGGAAGAAGTAATCTGTGCACTTTTATCTTTTTCTTGAAAAGCGAATAATGTTCGGGGCACCTGGGTGGCTCAGTTGGTTAAGCGTCTGACTTTGGCTCAGGTCATGATCTCACGGTCGGTGGGTTCCAGCCCCGTGTCGGGCTCTGTGCTGACAGCTCAGAGCCTGGAGCCTGCTTCGGATTCTGTGTCTCCCTCTCTTCTCTGCCCCTCCCCTGCTCCTGCTCTGTCTCTCTCTGTCTCTCAAAACTGAATAAACGTTAATTTTTTTTTTAAAGAAAAGCAAATATTTTCATTTAGAAATATATCAGTTCTCTAATCAGATAGAGGTGAATGGCAACCCTGAACTCAGAAATCAAACTAGTTATCCCCCTACCACCACCACCACACGCACTCTCCCTCAATCTCCCCTCCTCTTAATGCTTGGTCCTGGTCACTGGCACCCTCTTTATCTTATTCAAGACTTTGGTATTGTCTCAGATATACCTATTGTCTCCATTCTCTTATCCAGTCTCCAGGTTCTACTGATTTTTGCTTCACTGTCTCTCCTTGTTGGCAGTCTTGTCCATCCCTCACATTACCTGATCCAGTCTTCTCCCGTTGTCTCCTACCTTGCGTACTGCTAGAAAGCCTGGATGCCAGGTTTACCACTCTGCCAACACTGTAACCAAAACCAACTCCATCAAGATATTTGCATCATCATACACTTCCCAACTCTGAAACTTTGAAGAGATGCCTATTTCCGGCCGTGTCAAATTTTAACTCTCCACCCTAGCTTTCATAGCTCCTACCCCAGTCTTAACTACCACATTTCTTACCATTCCTTAAAACATAGGCGCACGAGTCAGTTTTCTTACTGTTCTCCCATGCTCTGATATATTTAATCCCTCTTACATATTTACCTTTTCCTATGCTCTCCTTTCTCCCTCTTGCCTATTTAAATTCCTGCCTGGCCTTCCAAGAGGTGGTTTCAGGTTCTACTTCCTCTCCTCAGTGATCTTGTTTCTCTGAATTCTCACTGTCTCTGTCTTAGGGCCGTACAGTTTTCCACTTAATTGTTTTTGTTTATTGCCTTTATCTTCAGTGTGTCACTCCATTGCCCCAGTTAGAATGTAAGCACCATTCTATAAAGAGCAGGCGTGTTAGAGATGTTATGTACAACATGATGACTGGAGCTAACACTGCCATATGATGTATATGAAAGCTGTTAAGAGAGCAAATCCTAAGAATTCTCATCACAAGGAAAAAACGTATATATTTTGGTATCTATATGAAATGATGGATTTTAACTAAACTTACAATAATTATTGCATGATATGTGTAAGTCAGATCATTGTGCTGTACGGCCTAAAGTTATACAGTGCTGTAGGTCAAATATACCTCAGTGAAACTGGGGGAAAAAAGCAGTCATGCCACACAGGTCAGTATTCCCTATAGACTGTGCCCACAGGAGGAGCGCAGGCACCACTGTAGGTTTCTTACCCAGTGGAAGAGACTCCCCAGTCTGCTCCCAGATAGCCTGGCAGACTCAGGAGGAGGCATGCAGCACCATGTTCCTTTCCCCATTTGAGAGAATCAGTAGTTACACACTCTTCTAGAAAGAAACCTGTGGGGTGGGTGAAGAACAACTTCCCGTGAGTTACAGCTTGAAAATAAAGATATTTAATATGTACTCCATTTATTTTCAGGCTGCAAAGATCTGCAACAACATGCTGTTAGCCATTAGTATGATTGGGACTGCTGAAGCTATGAATCTTGGAATCAGGTTTGTCGAATATATATTTTCATGTGCTAACAATTTTTATGAGCTTTTCTATTTGATTTTCTGATGTTGAAAAAAAAAAAGGGTCCGTGAGAGATGAACGAGTTGATCTAGGAACATTTTGAAAGTACTTCATTATTGAACTTTAATAGACTTTGCTTATTTGACGACCACTGGGCCCTGGAGAGCATGAATATTCTTTGCCATAGCCATAAAATGTGTTGTGCTGTATATTCGAAGTTACATTATCCTTTTTATATGGGAGCTCCATTTCTTCTGTTGTATTGAAATGCAAGAAACACTTTTACTGTAAAATTTAAACATACTTTGGCAGTGTAGGACAAATTTTTGTAAAACGCCGTTTTAATGTATGGCGAATTCAAGTGTTCTGCTACCACATGACTGGTTTTATGTATCTGTTCACTACAAGGGCTCTTGGTTGTTTAGTCTTGGGATAAACTGGATGGCATTCATAAAGCTGCAACTCATGTACATAACTCTTTCATTTTAACTGGCTTGTGGTTTTGTTACTTTACATTAAGGATATGTCTTTCCATTAAAATAAAATGCATCCATACTCTGCTGAAAGTGATGCAGGAATTTTGTTTCTCCTATGATAAGGATCATCTTTTAGAATGCTTAAGGTTAATGTCTTAAGTTTAGCCTTTAATCTTTTGGGTTAGGAATGTTACATATGATTAATCACCTAATTAATTGTTTGAATGTTCGGTATTTCATGAATATAATAAATATACATTTCTTACTTTAGAAATGCTCAATTAGCAAGATGCTTTATTCAGGTGTTTTCTTCACATTTCCCCAAACTGCTTACCAGGGATATCACAAATCAGAGTAGTGTTTCATCTCACAGCTTTTGATAACAGCAATAAAAGAGCCAAAGTGCTTGAGATATTTTTTAAAACACAGTAATGGATTCACATTTCCTCTTAATTACCATATCAAGATGCTGTTGTTTATTGAATTGCCCTTGTCTCAGATGTTAAACTATCTTGACCTATTAAGTTGTCATGTTGTAATTGAGATAAAAGAGGAATTTGCTTTGCATCAGTGCTAATTGGTTTATCAATATCCTGTACCATTTACATTTTAAAATTGAATGTCTGTAAGATGCTAAGGCATATCTGTACAAAGCCTTAATAAAACCGGTACTATACAGGGAGCTGTTCAGAGTGGTATGTCTGTACTGTAGCCAGTTTTAGGCTATGGGTCACTTAATCATAAATGAAAAACGTGTTACTAGTGACTCGTTTTCATGTCCATCCTCTAGACTAATTTCACGGAAGAGGAAGATGTAAATTTCTGGAGCCAAAATTGCATACAAAATTAATTGGTGTTGACAATAGGATTGGAGCATTAGTGTGCATATGCATCTTTAGAATTTTATATTCATTCTTCTGGATATAAATGAATAATAATAAGAACAAAAAAGCAAAAGCCTAGATAATCTAGGCTATGTTCTACTGAAATTTCCCTCTTCATCTTTACTAGTTTGTTTTATATCCTGCTTCTTACTCTGAGCATCACTGGTTTGAGATATTCCTTAGGCCTAGCGATGTATCCTCTGGCCTTCCTCAGCTAATTTTCCTAGCAAACCTCCTACCAGATGATCATTTGCTATTCTAAAATGAACTTTTTGTGTGGTTAGTGCTGATAGAAGTCTAACTCCAAACACCAGCTAATAAAGAATAGTATGAAAGTCACTTGAATCAAGTGAATGGAATAAAATATATACAGTGAAATACATACATGGACTACTACAGAGAGTTTGTGATCAAAGAGAAGATGAAAAGTGATAGAATTCCAAATAGAAATGTTAAGAGGAAAAGCAATAACTTCCCTTATTATTGGTCTTGATCCACTATGATAAAAATAATGTTTAGAAAGATGAAACTTGAAATGTTTAATTTTTCTGAAACTCTACATACGTATATTGCTATCACATATATAATATTTGCATATATCATATATGAAAAATGAACACAGACTAGGAACTCCCTAATTTTACTTAACTGGTAATAATTTATAACTTTCTGGTGCTTCAGATTATACTAATGGATTGCTTATTTTCATAACATTAGGATTTTATTAGTTTGTCTTGACAAAGATTCTCAGTGGCTTGAAAGTCCTAAAAATGATTGCCTCTGCTATTGTCTTTTCTCCATGGTTTACAGACGTGGTTTCAAGTGACAGGATTGTTCTCTAATAGAGTATGGAGAGCGACCACGATTTATTGAGCTTTGCAAAAGGTGAAAGAGAAAATTGGCATCAGCAAGCATAAATTCCCAAGTAGTAAATTCCGGCAAAGTAGTACAGCATCAAAGTGGCTCAGCCACATTTATATTCTGTTCACTCTGGAGTGAATTTTTTTTAAAGCATTAATGTCAACACTTACAGATTGAGTCACCTATTCCTGTGAAGTGATCATTTCTGATTAATTTCATCCTCATAAGTCAGTGTTTTTTCTAAAACAGCGTTTCCCATTTTTTTTCAAAAATAGAAGAATAAAATCATACAGTTTAGAACTCTTATTGACCCTGTGCTCTTTTACAGTCAAGATGGATAGAAGGGAAATTTTAAACGCTACAAAAAAAAAGTAAAGCATAAAGAATATGGGTATACAACATATTTCTGAAATTCTTTTTTTATTAGACCTTTGTACCTTCTAATTGGGTTCTGATTAGGACTCAGAACATAGTGTTACTGGCACCGAAGGTGTCCTGCTTCCATTAGAGACGTTTTGCTCCCGTGTGTCACAAAGGAACGGTGCTGATAGTGGAAGCTTTGTTGTTTAGTTTTCATAAAATTTTGCTCCACTGGGAATTGTCCTGTCTTGTTTTTCAGTACTGGTGGTTATAACAGGTCATTTGCATCACCAGTCAGCACCTAGGCCCCTAGCAACGACCGTCTTGTCTTCTTCCACCTTAAAAGAAGCTTCGGACAGTTGAACTTTTCTGGCAGGCTGTTCAAGATGAGAACTTTCCCACAAGTGTCATTTTAGTTTCTTGGCTACTGCCCTTAGACGGTGGTGCGTTTTCATTTAGGTGATGACTTGAGTCCCCTTAGCTGTAAACCTAATACATATGCAATAGATGTAAACTTAATACATATGGAATAGATGATGTAAACCCTAATACATATGCGATAGATATCAAGTGGCAGAAGGTTTATAATAAAAATTTGACCACATTTCTTTTTTTTTTTTTAAGTTTATTTATTTCGAGAGAAAGAGAGCACACACATGTGTGTCAGGGAGAAGGACAGAGAGGAAAGAGAGAATTCCACGCAGGCTCCGTGCTGTCAGTCCAGAGCCCAGTGCGGGGTTCGAACCCACAAACCACGAGATCGTGACCTGAGCCAAAATCAAGAGCCGGATGCTTACCCAGGCGCCCGGACCAAATTTCTTACTAGATTGGTAAAGCACTGTCATATTGGCTTATTGACTGTTAAGTTGCCCACCCACGTGATCCAGTGAGACTCAGCGTGGTGGGAGTTTGGTGTCGTAGCTCTGCCATAGACTTAAGTTTTTCTCATCTATAACATGACAAAAATAATAGTATCTGTCCACAGAGTTTTTTGTGAAAACGAAATGAGTTAATCTGTGTAAATCTTTTAAAACAGTTCCCGGTTGGGGCGCCTGGGTGGCGCAGTCGGTTAAGCGTCCGACTTCAGCCAGGTCACGATCTCGCGGTCCGGGAGTTCGAGCCCCGCGTCGGGCTCTGGGCTGATGGCTCAGAGCCTGGAGCCTGTTTCCGATTCTGTGTCTCCCTCTCTCTCTGCCCCTCCCCCGTTCATGCTCTGTCTCTCTCTGTCCCAAAAATAAATAAACGTTGGAAAAAAAAAATTTAAAAAAAAAAAAATTAAAAAAAAAATAAAAAAATAAAACAGTTCCCGGCACATTGTACAGGCTCAGCGTGGTAGTTATTGATGGTGGCGGTGGTTAGTATTTGAATTGAATTGTAACATTAAAAGTGGTTTCTTTATAACACTTCTCACCAGCTGGCGTGTGTATGTAGGTGTTTGTCTGTTGCCTGTCTCCCCAACTAGAACACAAGCTCCCTGAAGGGGATTGGCTTTGTCTGCTCATTGCTGTGTCTTAAGAACATACCTAGCACATAGTAGGCACTCAGTGAAGACTTGTCAAATGGATAAAGGGGCGAGAAGGGGGAGGGAGGCACTTCTCCTGCCTCAGGTAAAAGTTAACGTTGTGTGTGTGTGTGTGTGTGTGTGTCTTAACTGGCTCATTCCTGGATGGCAGGCACAGCCTTTTCTTAGATTTTTACTATGTCTCCTTGGCTCCAGGCACAGCACCTGTGCGTGGCAAATCTGTTCAACATTGATGAATAAGTGGACGGTCTGTTAAAACTGACATAGTCTTAGGGCACCTGGGTGGCTCAGTCAGTTAAGCATCCAGCTCTTGATCCCGGCTCACGAACAGGTTCATGAGTTCAAGCCCCGCGTTGGGCTCTGCGCTGGCAGTGTGGGGCCTGCTTGGGATTCTTTCTCTCCCTCTTTCTGCTCCTCCCCTGCTCGTGTGCGCACTCTCCCTCAAAAATAAATAAACTTAAAAAAAACTGACATAGTCTTAGGTATTTCATTTTCACATCCTGTGGTACAAACATCTCAGTTTATAGTCTGCTTTGTTCTTACGTAAAAAAAGACAGTATAGATACTTCTATAGAATATAAAGTGAAAAAACTTTTTTGGCCCTTAACAGCCTTGGTTACAGTGAAGGCAAACATTTGGATTCTGTTTAATTTTTTTCACGGTGTATGCATCATTTTTACTTCTCTCAAAAGTTCATTTAAAATTCTTGTGTTTTAAAGGTGAGTAGATTTGACACAGTGACGTTTATTTGAGTTGCATTATATATGCGGTCAGAGCAATGAATTCATTCTCTGTTTATATCAGAGAACATTCCAGCAATTGTAAAGCCACATGCATGCACGCGCACACTCTCGAACCACATCCAGTGGCAAGTTATTATGGGGAGTGACAGACTGTCATCCTTTTGATGGCTTGAGCTGTATATCTCCTGAACAGCAATGGGGCTCTTATGCAGAAAGTATCATATGTTCCCAGCCAATTTACAGGGAAACAGCAATAACATTTTATCATGGTTGAGAGCCCAGTAGCTGCTTCCTATTAAACTTGCCCTTTCAGATACCTGTCTTGGATTAATTTGTTGATTTCAAATGGAAACTCAGTCTTCTCCAGTGAAGCATGACGTTCTAGGATAGACTCTCTGAATGACAATTACTGTGTATTCTAGCTGGTTTCAGACCATTACAAGCCTTAGGCACAGTGGAAGACAGAGGACTTCAGTAACTGATTTTAATATTATGTCTAATTTTAACTGTCAGTTATATATGTGCCAGTGAAAGAATCCTCAGAAAGATGAAATGCAAAACACTTCTAACTTGCTCTTTTTAATGATACACTTTGCTGTAGGGTGGGGAGTCGGGAGAGGAAAAGTGGTGAGGGAGTAGCCATCTCCTAAAGGGGAGTCAGCACAGCGGGGAAGCATCAGATTTGAAAAGTGAGCACGTAACAACTGCCACCTCGCTTTTTTGCGTGCCCCTCAGGATGCTTCTAAATAGTAATATGTTCACCAAACAGGGTTCCATAAATCAGTGCCAGTATTTTTCCTCAAACACTCAAGAAAAATGAAATGTAGGGTTTTACAAAGGATAATAAGCTTTGCCCGCCATTTTGGTGAGTACTGTACATAGAGCATGAACCGCTTTAGCAGTAAAGGCTGTTGTGAGGTTCTCTTGAGTATAACCAGGTAGGTTATAAAGAGAACAGTAACTCTGCTGCTTTAAATGTGATGAACCATTGTAAAAGAAAAATCTAAATTCAGAAGCCCTTGAATTATATTTCAAATGGAAGGGAAGAGCGATATTTGGGGGTCTTAAAAATATTCCCTACTCATGGAGCACATTAGACATAGACATTCTTGAACCTTTGTGCTTAGGGAATATATTTGCAGTTACAGCAGATTAATTGTTAATGTGTGATTTTTACTTTTCATAGTATGCACATTGGCTTTCTCTTTCCCAAGTCATCTGCTCTAACAGCATACTGATAGCCTCTTATTATTTAAAAGTGGAAAGAAAGCATCAGTAATAAACTACACCTGTAACAAACTTGGAATTTTGTAAAGGAATGAATGAAACTGTTGGATTTCTTTCGGGCAGTCTACCATTGAACGGAATGTATGACAGCCGATTAGAGTGAATCTTCTCTGTCTGTTATAATCCTTAAGAAGACTCCCCATTGTAACATGGTCCACCACTTGATTTCACACATGTGGCATGCCATATATATTCCTCGCACCACAGCTACTTCTTGAAAACCTGATTACGTAACAGTTGTATTATGTGCTATGTCCAGACATACACTGGCTGTCAGCCTTAGCCCCCTACTCCAGTACTGGAAAAATGTGTACTGGGTCATGATACTCACATTGGGAAATAAACAGACATAGGTTTCAAACACAGAGGAAACAAGAGCTTAAGCAAGGCAAAATGCGTAATTTGTTTCACACTGATACGTGTCTCTTTTCGGTTTTTTTTTTTTTCTTCTCTGGGAAAGAGTGGTTCTAAGGAAACGCAGAAAGCTTTTATGACAATTATTTTATAATGTCTCTTTGTATGAAAGAAACCAGTCAATTGCTGGGTAGAAAGTTTTATTTGAAACTTGATTCAGTGAAACTTAGCCAAACTGTGCTTCCCAAACTGCATTCAGATTCTCAGAATCAAAATAATATAGCATTTTGATTCTATTTTTTTTCTGGGTCCACACTACACAGCCGTTGATGCCCTCAGCTCAGTGATAGAACAAATGATGTTTCCGCTTGGGCAAGCTTTGTTTTATCAGGATCAGTAACCTTATCAGCAGTTGACCCAGAACTATAATGCATGTCTCTGAATAGATAGCATATGTCACAGCTCTGTGCAGACTTGCTTCATAAGCAAGATCGTCTAATGAAGATTTAATAAATAAGGAAAAGTTTGCAGCAAGAAATGTCTTCTTTTATAATGATAACTTCTCTTAAGCTTGTTTTACTGCTCGCGGCTCATCTCTTGTATTCATTCTCATAAAAGCTAAAAGAGTAAACATACATATAAATGCATCCACACGGACTTCCATGATGCATGGTTTATCTGTCAATATTTCTTTCTGAAATATATCATTTGTGAGGAAAGAACGTAGAATTCAGATTATCATATTGGTTTAAGGTTCTTATGTGACACGTAAATGCAACGATATCCAAAAGACTAGAAAACCCATGTGTGTGATAAACCAACAACTACACAATTATGTGTTATTTCTTAAAAGTAGGGTATAGCACAGGGGATTTTCTCCCAGTGCAGAATGTCCTGGCTCAGAAGTGTTTAATCACGAGCTTTTAATACCCTATAATTTAAGACTGGGTTCTTTGCCCTCATCAATCTGCTTTGATTTTTGAAGACATACAATAAATGGAGAAGGAAGATAGAGCATCCTCATACGTAAATAAGTCACGCATGACTTGTACATTTTGACATTTAACACTGCTTTTCTTTGACCTTTGACAGGTTAGGGCTTGACCCAAAACTATTGGCTAAAATCCTAAACATGAGCTCAGGACGGTGTTGGTCAAGTGACACTTACAATCCTGTACCCGGGGTGATGGATGGAGTGCCGTCGGCTAATAACTATCAGGGTGGATTTGGAGCAACACTCATGGCCAAGGTATGGTAAATGCAGAGACTCCCTCCCCAAGACAGAGGGGAACAGATGTTTAATGGGCTAATCCCCCACTCCCCTTTAACAAAGCATATGTCTACCCTAGACGGCGAGATTACTAAAATAGCGATTCACTTACTCATTGGAAGTGAGTTAAAACTTAGCTTAGATAAAAATCCTTATTTTGTTCGTTTATATTCCTGCCCTTTCAGATGAGAAGAATAGGCTGGGAGTTTTATTTTGTGCTTGGGTTTGTTTGTATTGTGAGATGGGCAAGATTTTGTTCTTCATAGAAATTTTCATTATTTTACCAAGTCCTTAGAATGGAAGGAGTAAGAATTTTCTGGATAATACATTGACATTGGGCACACCTATCACAGAAGAAGAGAATATCTTTCTCACGATACTAGACTTCTAAATACGCCTTCCCGCTTTAAGAATATGTACGTACATAAGTATGTATGCATTTCCCTTCTCTGCCACCACCAGTACCTTGGCTGAGCCTCCCTTGGATCATACCAAATCAGTCCTTAACTGGTGTCCTATCCTTTCATAATCCTCTCCGGTTCATTTTCTGCCCCGGGGGAGGGAGCGGGCTTCTGGACACGTAGAAACCGGAGTGTGCCATTTCCCCTACTAAGTCTCTTTCACCGTTTCCTGTTACTTGTAGTTTAAAGTCTATCTCTGCAAGTTGTCTCACGAAGCCCTCCATGATTTGGCCTTTGCTTGTCCCACCAGCTCGTTTCAGCCTTCCCAGATCATCTTTTGCTTCCACCATAGTGAACTCGTTTCTGCCTGTTGTTGTCTCTTTTTTTTTTTTTTTTAATTTTTATTTATTTATTTTTGAGACAGAGAGAGACAGAGCATGAGCAGGGGAGGGGCAGAGAGAGAGGGAGACACAGAATCGGAAACAGGCTTCAGGCTCTGAGCTGTCAGCACAGAGCCCGACGCGGGGCTCAAACTCACGGAGCGTGAGATCGTGACCTGAGCTGAAGTCAGACGCTCAACCGACTGAGCCACCCGGGCGCCCCTCGTTGTCTCTTACTTGCAAACCTCCACGCACGCTATTCCCTCTGCCTGCATCGTTTGTCCTTGCCGCCCCCCCCCCCATCCCAGCTTCCGGCACAGTACCTGGCATATTGCCAGCATACGTTAAATATTTATTGGATACAGCAGTGTTTGAAACTACATTTCTTATTTTGCAGTTTGATTTCTCCTCATGTTTCATTTAAGAAAATATTTATTTTTATGCTAATCCGTATCCTGTATGTAGTGTGCATATAATTTAGGATTTTGTAATTGTGCTGTGTGGCTGTTGCTAGAAACAGGAAGTAGCTCCTCAAGTGTATTGTTTTCATCGAAGCCGCAGGTGATTTATTAGGGCACACGGAAACATGAAAGAATCGCATTTATGCTCAGTTTCCATTCTGTGTCTGTGTGAAGTGGGCTGTGAGCTGTTAGCTTATTCGGTTCCACTAATACGGCTAATGGCTCAAACAGAGGAAGTGGCTAGCAGTAGAGTGTAATAAGAAGGATCAGATGGATTTGTCTTTCTGTAGTGCTGGCTTTGTCTGGGGACTCCGCCCTAGCTGTCCTTCACTCTGTGGTACACCTGTGCTTTAGCCATTTTCTGCAGTGGCCCTGCCCACTGTCAGAGTCCTTCCTTTGACATGATTTTCTTGGCACGCCTGGATGGCTCAGTCGGTTGAGCATCCAGCTTCGGCTCAGGACATGATCTCACGGTTGGTGAGTTCAAGCCCCGTGTCAGGCTCTGCACTGACAGTGGGATCGGGATTCTCTCTCTCACCTCTCTCTCCACCCCTCCCCCGCTCATGCTTTTTCTGCTCTCTCACTCTCTCTCAAAATTAAATAAGTGAACTTCGAAAATAGATCAAATGATTTTCTTGATCATGAATGACAGTGTTTTCAACTAACAGTGTGAGACAGTGCGGGAGTCAAACATATGGGTGTTACCGGTGTCCTTCCCTCAAGAAATGCAGTTGTGGTCTCCCTTACAAGGAGGAAGACTTCTTAATTTTGCTTGGAATGAGAGTACGTAGAAAGGAACTTAAAAAAATCTTTCATCACCTCAGATTGCTGTTAACAAAAACACACCATAGCTAATTAGGTTTGTGTAGAGAAACTGATGGAGATTAAAGAACTCCCCATCGATGCTGTGTTGATTAAAGCAGTCTTAGCATTGTGATTCTGCTTGGACAGATCAAGGCTTAGCTGCTAAGAGAGGTTTTGTTCAATGGCCATTAAATTTTATTGTGCTAGGGGATGTCGTTGAAGTAGAGGCTTGTGCATTTATTTCTAGGTCTTAACATCATAAAATTCTAATATGTTGTGTGTATATATCAGAACATAGTCAATATGAAAACTAGATCATTCTTCTGAACTCTCCACCTAGATGTCTACTTGTGATGGCCGCTACAGAACAGCATATGGAAAATCACGATGATTCTTGGTACTCCCTCAGTATACCCATTTCCTCATAAAACATAACACCTTGGTCCTCTGTTAACTCACTGAACCTTATTGCCATTGTTGTGTTATTTTTTCCTGAACTACCCACTTAGCTCATGGATTCATAAATATTTTATTTGATGAATGATGTGGAAAATCTATTTATTTTAAATTATACATTATCAGCTTCAAGGGATGCCTTCTTTTTCTAACATTTCAAGATACAAAAGCCTCTCAGGTTTTCGGAGACTAAGCACCGTTCGTTTTTTAGAATGTCCGTCCTTTAAGGTAGTGGCCACCAAAGCAATTTCACTTTCTGTTTTTTGGTTTGGGCAGATTTTATTTGGGTGTGTACTTGCCCCTTTGAAAAACTCTAGACCTTTCTTCTCGATAGTACTGTGTTCTCTTTAGTATGTTATGTTAACTCTGAGTTCTTCTGTTCTAGTTTGTGTTCCAGTTAACTGGGTTAAAAGTTAAATGCAGTCTATGTAGATTTTCTCTCTGTCATTTGAAAATAAATATATCTTGCAGATTTGCTGCAAAATGATGTCAACCAGAGAGGTTTGTCTGGGTATAAACGATAGTGTAGCTGTATGTTTGTTAACTGTGCGGGACACAATTCAGCTTGCTTTTTATTTTTAGGAAACTATAGAAGAATTTAAGGTTAAGCAGATTTTTCAGATCTATTGTCTACATGTGAAAATTATACAGATAAGCACGAAATAATGTTTGCAGTTATACCATCATACATATTTAAGAGGCTGGAGATTTAAAAGTTTTCTGAAGCTCTCAGGATGAAGCGTTAGCTCGCCAAGATGTTAAAGGGTTGTCATGAGGGTGGATGTCCCACTGCACTTCCAGTAAAACCCAAACTCCTTCCTAAACATACTAAAGCTTCTGTGTTTTATGTGTGCCCATGCCCGGCTCATTTCTCTCCCTAGCCCCCTTGCTTACTCTCATTCAGCCTCACTGGCCTGCTTGCTGTTTCTCGAATATTCAAGCCGTGTCCCAGCACCTTGCTGTTCCATCTGCCTGCGTCTCTGTTCCCCAGCTCTCCAAAGAACCCACTGCTCTCTGACATTCAGATCATGGGCCAAGTGTCTTCACCTCGGAGAAGCCTTCCCTAAACATTTCCTCTGTCAGAACTCTCTTCCTTCCACTCCACCCTTGCTGTCCACCACTTCCCAGCCCCTTCCCCTGCTTTATTTTTCTTCATAGTCCTTGTCCCTATCTGAAATTGTAGTATTTGTTGTCTGTCTTCCCCGAGCGTCACAAGAACAGTGCCTTGGTTTCATCATGCCTGTGTCACTGGCGCTTGGGACAGTGCTAAATACTTGTTGAATAAAGAGATTGCATGGATATTCGGTGATTCCATGATGGGGGGCTTGTCTTAGGCTTACAGGCTTCTGCAGATTTGAAAAAGCATTTCCCTGTGTGACCTCATTTATCTAGTAACCCTTGTCCACAGTCAAAACAGACAGGTCTGGGTGGAGGAGTGGGGAGGAGACTCAGAAATTAAGGTTTCTGTCCAGAGCAGTTTTGCCCTATGTGAAAGTACTTACAAAAATATATATAACCCGCCACAGTGTTTGTAAGTATCTTATTTTTTTCAGACTTCATTCCTCCTGCTTTGAAAGCAAAGCATTAGGAGCCACATTTGCAAAGTGAGCCCTCGCTACCAGTCTCAATGTGTTCCTTCCTGCCCTTGTTTGATTTAGGATCTGGGGCTGGCCCAAGACTCCGCCACCAACACAAAGAGCCCGATCCTTCTGGGCAGCCTAGCCCATCAGATCTACAGGATGATGTGTGCAAAGGGTTACTCAAAGAAAGACTTCTCGTCCGTCTTCCAGTTTCTCCGAGAAGAGGAGACCTTCTGAGTTTGCCCTTTGGCCGTGGACACTGTTGGAAACCGACCTCCACCTTGGAGCCTCCTGATAGCTCACTCCACAAGTAAATGGGCTTAATCAAAGGTCACCTGTCTGCTTTTGACTGTCTAGATCCCAGTAAACCTTAGGATTTTTCACCCATTTTTAACTGCTTATTTTTTTATCTATTTAGCAAACCTGTGTTCTCTCCATTTTTTTTTTTTTTCCCTGTAAGCCACTGATGGTCTCTGCTAACTAGCTGATTGACCTTTTTCAAAAGTTTGACTCCTGAGCATCTTCAACTAAATCGTTGCATACTTCAATCAGGATAGTTATTTATTCCACTTTACAAATAAAACCAAATATTGTCAACAGGATGAAACCTATCTTAAAGAAATTGGTGTGGGGAAAGGAGTTAGAAAAAGGGGAAGCATAGTGAATTATTACCTGTGTCCCTCGGGAAGTTTGTCCTGTTAACCAAGTGGTGGTATTCTTGCGTTGCTGAGGTTACTGATTTCTTTTCCAGGGAGTCGGTAAAGCTAACTGAACTCCCTGCTGCATGTTTATAAGTTGGACTCTGTTACATTATCTTACTGTGTATCCTTCTTGTTACAACTCCCAATACTCAGCAAACTTGTTTTTTATATTTTTGCTTCCTTACTACATATTTTTTGACTTTAAAAGAATGACATCTTTAGAACTGTTTCAGAGCCAATGATGATATTTGCTTTAGATAATTATTACATTATTCTAAATATAACCATATTATTTTGAAATCAAATAAATTTCTATGCTGATAATACTTTCTTGGAGTTTCCGTGTCTCCGCAGCCATTTGGCGAGCAATTAAATGATCTGACAAAACTGGTATTCCAGACTGATGGGGGAACGGGTGGGAAGAAAAGGAAGGGAGGGGAGGTCAAAAGGAACCGAGTCTGAATTAGCCAGTGGCAGGCCAGCTTCCTGCTGTTCATCTGAATCCTTAACGGACATTCATTTGGAAGTTTTCGGTTGTGGGTGCCATCGGAATTCAGCCTGCGCAAAATGGAATATGCCACAGTGTAGACTTTCCCCACCACAGCCCCTAGAAGTCTTCTTGGTGATAGACCTCGGTGCCAAACCTGGCAGAACTACAACTACTTCCCTCAGTTTCCTGGTGATAAAACATCCCAGGCACTATTAGAAGTGCTGGGGCTACGGTGACGAACAGAATAGACAAAGTCTTGCCCTTGTAAACTATAGATCCTGGTGTCGTGTGTGTGTGTGTCTGTGTGTGTGTGTGTGAGGGGATGTGACAGACAAAAAATAAATGTTGATTGCATACGTCAGATAATAATAAGGAAAAAAAAGCAGGACAAGGGGGATGGATGGGAGGTGCCCAGGGTATTTTGTTATGGTGGTCAAGGTTGGCATTTGAGCAGAGAGAAAGAAGTGAGGGAACACGCCATGCAGATACCTGAGAAGAGAACATTCCAGGAACAGGGAGCAGAAAGTACAAATGCTAGATATGAGGAAAAACGAGGCTGTAAGTGAAGTCCCAAGATGAGGGGGGCCAGATCTTGTAGGGCCATGTTAGGACATTGGCTCTTATTCTAAGTGGGATTGGTTGTGTATCAGTTAGCCAGAGTGAAAGCTAACTGATGATACGTTGCCACCTCAACATTCAGCGGCTCAAAATAACAAATGTTTATTATTTTTCAAGATTCTCCAGGTCAGTTATATTATTCTTCTCCCCTGGGCCGGCTCCTCTGGAGCTGGAGGGTCTAGTTTGGCCTCACTCAGCTGGGACAGCTGGCACGGTTGGGGCTTCTCTCCACAGGGTCCAGGAGGCTAATCTGAGCTTCTTCACGTGGCGGTGGAAGGGCTCTCAGCGGCAACGCAGGACAAGACCAATGAGCAGACACTTGGCTGGGTTCTTGCTTCGTGGCTGTACTGCCCCCTTGGCCGAAGCAAGTCACATAGCCCAGCCCAGAGCCCGTGTAGGAGGGGATGATCTAAGAGGGTGGACACCAAGGCATTACGGTGGCCATTTTGCAAATATCCTGTCCCAGGCAGCCCATTAGGGATTTTGTTAAGAGGGTCGATGTGGACTGACCTAGCCTTAAAAGGGATCACTGTGGCTGCTGTGTGGAGAATAGAATGTAGGGCGAGGCTGGAGGCAAGGAGACCAGTTAGGAGGGGATGGTAATAATCCAGATGAGAAGCAGGGAGGGCTGGGACCAGGATGTTAATGAAGAGGTTTCTGTCTCCTCGGGCAAGAAATGGTCAGATTGGAACATAAAGATAGATGCACTAACTAATGGATTGGGTGAAAGAAAGGGAGGAGTCAGGGAAGAATCCAAGGTTGGTGGGGAAAGTGGAGGGCAGGCGTTACCATTTACTCTGGGGGGAGATGTGGGAAGTTTAGGAGGCGAAAACTCCTAGGTGGCCTGGAAGCCACCCAGGGGGAGGAAAGGCAAAGGTCCAAGACCACACCCTGTGTTACTCTCACTTTCAGTGGCTGGGAAAAAGAGCCAGCAAATGAGATGAGGGGTAACAGTAAGCCAAATGCAGATTGTGTCGGAAGGAAGAATGATTGTTTGTATCAAAAGCTACTGATAAGCTGAGTAGCAAATGTAAGAGCTGAGAATTAGTGATTTGCCTTGGCAAAATAAGTGCCTCTGACGGGTGTTCTGGGGCACGTTGGAAATGACATTGGACACGAGGGAATGGGAAGAGAAATGGGAAACGTTGAGTAGAGACAGCTCTCAAGACGTTTTGCTGTTAAGAGGAAAAAACATGGGATAGATACTGGCAGGGATGTGGGGTCAAGGGAAATTTTGTTGATGTGTCTTTAAGATTGGAGATACCATGGGATCATGCTGATGGAAGTGGAATGGTCCAGTAAAGGAGAAGGAGTGGTGCATGGGAGAAAGGATGCTTGCCAAGGGCTATCGTTTATGTATGCATGTTTATTTTTGAGAGAGAGAGAGTGTGAGTGAGTGGGGGAGGGGCCGAGAGAGAGGGAGACGCAGAATCCGAAGCAGGTTCCGGGCTCTGGGCTGTCAGCACAGAGCCCGACGCGGGGCTCGAACTCAGCAACCGCGAGACCATGACTTGAGCCGAAGTCGGACACTCAACCAACTGAGCCACCCAGGCGCCCCTATGTAGTGTTCAGCATAAAATAACATTAGTGCTGGAAAGGATCTTACCCACCTCTCAGCACGTTGCAGTCCCCCTCCTCTGACCATAAGTTTTCTCATCTATAAAGTTGTCGTAAACAGGGGCCCCTGGGTGGCTGAGTTAAGCAACCGACCCTTGATTTTGACTCCGGTCATGATCTCATGGTTCATCAGTTGGAGCCCCGGGTTGGGCTCTATGCCAACGGCGCAGACTTTGTTTGGGATTCTCATTCTCTCTCCCTGCCTCTCTCTTTCGCAAAGAAATGTAAAAATAAATCACATTGGCATAAACAATGTAGCTGAATAGTAAACGCTTACTCGGAAACTTGAAAGCAAAAAATCTGAATCAGGGACAATCCCAAGTGTTGGCGAGCACGTGGAGACGTTAAAACCCTCATACGCGACTGCCGGGACCATACAGTGGTGGAAAAGAGCGTGGCAGTTCCTCGAGAAAGTAAACACAGAGTTTCCGCAGGACCCAGCGGTTCCACTCGATCCTTGAGGATAGATGCATACATACTCGAGAGGAACGAAGTTAATGCGTCCGCACGGAAACTTGTACACGAATATTCGTAGCGGCATTATTCGTAAGAGCCAAAAAGTAGGAATGGTCCAAATGTCCCCTGACTGATGACCGCACGAACAGAGTAGCACATCCATGCCGTGGAAGAGTGGCCATCAAAAGGCATGGAGTACTGACCCAGGCCACAACTTGGGTGAACCTCGAAAAGCAACATGGCAGGTGAAAGACGCAAGACCCGGGGGCCACAGGCCGTGTGATTCTGTGGCGAATGGCAGACCAGGCAAATCCCCAGACCCAAAGTAGATGAGTGGTTTCCAGGGACTAACGGGGGAGGGGGAAATAGGGAGTGACTGCTGCTCTGCGTGGAGTTGCTTTCTTAGGGTGATGAAAACGTTCTGGAATTAGATAGCCATGGATGCATGACTTTGTGAATGTGTTAAAAACCACTGAATCGTACGCTTCTAAATGGTGAGGTTTATGGTGTGTGAATTGCATCTCTCGGCAAAAGAAAAACTAAGGAGAAAAAGTCACGAGTTACAGCCTCTCTTCCCAAGTGGTTCTCGACTGGGGCAATGTTGCTCTGAGGGGACGTATGGCAATGTCTAGGCGTATGTGTGGTTGTCATGTGGGGGCTGCGGGGTGCTCCTGGCATTGAGCGGGCGGGCGTATGTCGGGGACACTGCTAAACAGCCCACAGTGCACGGGACAGCCCCCGCAACATATGCCCCAAATGTCCATAATGCAGGGTTTGAGAAACTCTGCTCAGGTGTGTGTTCCACAGGCACCTCAAACTTGGTGTATCGAGACCTAAGCTCCCCCATTCTCCCACCCAGCAGACCTGCTTCTCCGGGTCCCTGTCCCATCCAGGTTCCCAGGAAGCATCCCTGACTCCCCTGTCCCTTCCACCCGCTCTCCACGGGGAGGTCTATCTATACCTCTGGCGCCTACGTCAGGCCCTCATTGGTTCTTGTCTAGGATACTTGAATATCTTTGCAATTGTTCCTTTTTTTGTTTGTTTTTAACAGCTTTCCTGAGGTATAATTTATATACAATAGAACTCGCTCGTTTTAGGGGCGCCTGGGTGGCGCAGTCGGTTAAGCGTCCGACTTCAGCCAGGTCACGATCTCGCGGTCCGTGAGTTCAAGCCCCGCGTCGGGCTCTGGGCTGATGGCTCAGAGCCTGGAGCCTGTTTCCGATTCTGTGTCTCCCTCTCTCTCTGCCCCTCCCCCGTTCATGCTCTGTCTCTCTCTGTCCCAAAAATAAATAAATGTTGAAAAAAAAAAATTTTAAACAAACAAAAAAACCCAATAGAACTCGCTCGTTTTAAATGTACAGTTCGATGACTTTCAGTAAGCTTACAGAGTTGGACAGGCATTGCCACAATCCAGTTTTAGAACATTTCTATCACCACCCCGCCCACTCTTCCTGTGCCCATTTACTGTCATTGACTGTTCTCACCCCGCACCCTCCAGCCAGAGGCAACCTCTAATCTTTGTGTCTCAATAGATTCCAGCTGTTCCTGGGCCA